AGAGTGGTGAACTCACAGCCATTGTGAATTCCAGCTCCAGCGGATCAGGTACCATTTTTCAGCCTCTGCGGGTGCCTAGCGTGTGTATAGCATGTATGCATACATGCAGGCAAAATGCCCATACACATAAACTAAATTAAATCATATTTGTATCAATATGCATACATGCACATACACATATATATTCAAGTCCAGCATGATGGCTTAGCAGGTAAAGGCATCTGCTTTAAAGTTTGATCCCTGAAACAAGTGTCTTCTGACTTCTGCATAGGAGCCATGGTCCATGCACTCCCATACACACACACACACACACACACAACCATCATCATCACAATTATCATTATCATCACAAATAAAGTAGATTTAAATTTTAAAGATAATTATAGAGACAAAAAATGTATCTGTTCTTAGTATACTATTTTGTAGTTCATATGATGTGACATTTAGTTAAATTTATGAATATATTTAAAAACCTTTACAAATTTTTGAACAAAAACCAAAATCAAACTTTTCTTTCCACCTAAACAACTACTGTGGAAGAGAAAGTACATTCTGTACCCCATTCATGTCTTTCTACCACAAGCTGACAAGAAAAAAAAATCCAAAGCCCCAATAGCTATAACAAATTTGACCTTCAGTGTTGCCTCATCTAAAAGGAAATTGTCTAGATATTGAAAAGAATCAGAAATCTTCAGTTTCTAAAACTTAAAAGCTCCTGATTCACATGTGATCCCAGCACTGGGAAGGCAGGGGTGGGGTAGGGTGATGGAGAGTTTGAGACCAGCTTGGACTGCATAGAAAGATTTCATCTCAAAAATAAACAAGCTGGGCATGGTGGTTCACACTGACTTGCAGAGCCAGGAGAAATCCTTTGTGTTCAAGTGAAGTCTGTGCTGCATAGTGAAGCCTCAGGCCTGGATGGGCCCCAGAGCAAAACCTTGTAGGAAGCAAACAGAGAAATACACAACACGTCTGTTCACAGCAACACAAATAAACCCATAGGCTTTCTCCCTTTATTGTGGACTAAAGAAGGCCTTCACCATTGGGTCAGATGCTATGATACACATCATCAGTTACTTTGGTATCCTGTCTTTGCTCAGCACCTGTACAAAATGTCATAAATGTAAAAGTATTGATCTTACCTTTGAAAATATTTAGAAAGAGCTCACACCCAAAAGAACTCCCACCCAGAAAAATCAAAACAGTTTAGAATAAACTCCCAGTAAGAGGATGTGTATATGCTAGCCTCCTACAGGGATGCTCTGCCAGTAATTTTATGTGGCCAAGTCATCTGTTTTAATGTAGTTTTACATGAGTTTTTTGCTTATACCTTTTCTTTGTTCTGAACTGAATGTCTACTGGAATTCTCCCAAATAAACTAACTCAATTTTTCACTATATCTACATTGTGGAACCATGTTCATCTCTGTCCAAACAAAGTTTATTATGACAGAAAGCACAACAGGGAGGGAAATGCCACAATATTCATGAAAATAGGCATACAGTAGCAGAATTGTTAAGATTATTTTGGACACTCATTCCTGAGTTATGATATTTTACATTATTGATTACTGATTATTTACTCTCTTCCATACTCCTTATTTTCTTTTCTCCCAAATAGATAACTGTTTTCTTCCCAAGTATGAGATCTGTCTTTTCTCTAGGGTGGAGAGTTCCTCCCCAATGGATTAGAAAGGGACATTCTTTGCCACATTGACCACATCCTGCTTGAGTCTCTCCAAGTCAATGTCAGGAGTAAATGGAGAGTCAAGGTAATGGGTCCTTCAAGCCTGACCAACTGAAAACCCAAGACTACCACTGATGATACTTACAGATAATAATAGTTACATTGAGTTCAACTGCTGCTTCAGCTTTGCACCCAGAACCCCACTGGTCTATAAAATCCATTCTTCTATAAAGCATGGTGAACTTCTATTCACTTCTCAACTTTACACAACTAAGCAAACTTACACAAGACCTCAAACATTTTAAGTCCGTGGATTTCCTTTTTACTAGGAAAATTCATCCAAGAATTCTCTCCCAGTTCCTAGTTCTCCAAATCACAATACTCAAAGCTCAGGCTAGACTGAGAATAAACAGATGGGCCCAGCATCCATCCCACCCACAAAATGATCTAGATGAGACATTCCTGTTAGCTTGTTGCTCAATCTAATCTTGCTAAAGAAAGAAACCTTTGGGTGGGGAATTCTTAGTCAAATAAATTCCTAAAGAGAATATTCAATAAGTGATGCCATCAAGGAGTATGTCACTATCCCAGAAAGACCTGAGTTCTGTGTTACTAAGGGTGAGTCAGCACGGAGCCGGAGGAGATGACAGAACACAACAACTTCTAATTCTGCCCCATCCTCTTCAGCTCTCCTGCTGTGACTCTGGGTACAAAGTCCTCTTCTGTGGATTCTTTATACATTACTTGTAAAAAGATAATTCATATGGTCTCAATCTCTTTGCTGTTGATTGCATATTAATCTTTGATCAAGTATGGGTTTTTATGTTTTGTTTTTTGTTTGTTTGTTTTGTTTTGCTTGCTTGTTTGTTTTTCCTTTGATGAGGTCTAACTATGTAACCCTGTCTGACCTGGAACTCCCTATGTAGAACAGGCTGGCCACAAAGTCATACAAATCTGCCTGCTTTGGCCTCCTAGGTACTAGATGTAAGCGTGTACATCACCATTACCACACTCGATGACTTCTTCTTCTTCTTCTTCTTCTTCTTCTTCTTCTTCTTCTTCTTCTCCTTCTCCTTCTCCTTCTCCTTCTCCTTCTCCTTCTCCTTCT